AAAGTGGGATTTCATCTCCCTTTAATATCTTATTAAATAATTATTTTAATTTTGGTATATGGATCTTTTAAATACTTTATAATACTCTGGGCCTAATCCATCTGTTCCAGGGGTCTTTCCTACCTTTAAATTATTTGTAATTTCCTCTATTTCCTTATCCGTAATCATCTGCTCCATCATATTTTTATCATCATCTGAAATTTTCTTATTAAAATTATTTTTAATATAATCTTCAATTTTTGTTGTGGAAGGATTTTTACTACTATATAAAGTTTTATAAAACATTTGAAAAGCTTAAAGCTTCTCCTTTGTTTTATTACATCTTTTCCCCTTCATATCCTGTATTACACCTATGTTACTTTTATTCTTTTTTATGGAAGACACTTTAGCTAATAATTTAGAATTCTTATTACTAAATTCAAAATAATTTCTTTTTAAGTATATTAAATTTCTTTGTACCTTTCCCAAATGAATTCCTTCCAACTCCTTTCTCTTTGCTTGTAATTCTATTATTGCTTTTTATCCCTAGTTTTTATAACTATTTTTTCTAATTCCTTTATATTATCTTCTAATTCCTGTATTCTTTTCCCCTGAGTTTTCTTAAGCATATGTGACATCTTACATGCATACCCTCTTTCCACAGATTTCATTGCATCCCATATTACCTTAGGTTGACTTCCTCCCTTCTCGTTTATTTCCCACGTTTCATATAAATCTTTTTTGAATTTTTCAATTAGGTTTGGATACCTAAATATGTTTGTATCGATTCTCCACCTATTTACCTCCTTATAGTCACATTTAAGTATCAACTCCATTTTCACTCTGGCGTGGTCTGAAATTTGTATAACATCAATGACTGTATCATTTACTCTAAGCAACAAGTCTTTAGATACAAATATATAATCTATTCTTGAATATGTGTTATGCACCTGTGAGTGAAAAGAGAATCTTCTTTCATCCCCTTTTAGCTCTCTCCATACATCTTTCAAATCAGTTTCACTATTACCAGCAGATGGCACTTAAAGGTTGTATTGAGAGTTAGAGGTTCAACTTTCGTTTCTCCTCCTCTGGATACGTAGCGAAAGTGAAACTTAGTAAAAATATATTTTTTGTTTTTTGTTAAAGTCTTTCAATATTATTCACATTGCCAAATATGTAAATTATTTCACAATTATTACACAGATTGATGATTTTTTCCTTTTCACCCTTTTTTCTTTGTTGGATTCTATTTTCTTTTTCTCCCGGCTGCGTTTTGTAGCCACACTCCCTTTCGCTCAAGATAATCCCCTCGGCAACTAGATAAGAGTTTCAATAATACTTTCAAAAAATAAAACACCACCTGTTTGTTAGAGCACTTTAAAAAGCTTTCTTGCAAGCCGTGGTGGGAAATCTCATCCGCAGGGTCCCCGCTGAGATAGCTGTTTCCTCCCTTCCCACAGCCTGCAGCTTCTCTGTCCTATTTATTGTTATTTTTTAAATGAAAACAGACTGCTTTTAAGTTCATCTCCATTGCCACAAGGGTATCAATAAGTTAAAAAATCACTTACATATCCACGAGGTGTTTTTTGTTTTTTTTTTTGCTGCCTCATGTTATTTCAAAGTGAGAGCTCCGGGATTTTTCAAGCCATGGCCATCATGGTCCAGGACACGCCCCTGGGTTAATTCACTTTAGCTGACCACAATCAACAGAGTGGTAACTTCCTCATTT